CTAAATAGCCGTTTGAGGTGTGTCCCCCACTTTTTTTTTAACTTTTTGCAGGATTTGAAATGCCAAAAAAAAAAAAATTAACCGGTACCATAACCGGACCGGTACTGCCGGTACCGGTACCAAAAAATAGGTACTGGAACCGGTACCGAAATGGGCGGTACCGGTACCGGTTCCCGGAACCGGTGACACGGTGACGACGACGGTGACGGTGGCGGGTACCGGCGGTACTGTTGCCGGTGACGGTACCGTGTCCACCCCTACAAACCACACACAAAAAGGGGGAAAAAAGGGGGAGACAACTTTAGGTGAAAACACAATTTGGGTCGGGTTTCTCCCCCATGGAAGGAAAGGATGATGGCCCATTAGATCAATGTGGGATTTTATTTATAAAAAAAAGAATAACTTTATTCTAATTAGTCTCCTCAAGTTGATTCTAAGAGTTACATGTGAAGATTTAGAGAAAAGATCTTTAGATATGAGTAAAATGTTATTGACATACACGAAGTACCATACTAAAATATGCCAACGCCGAGCTATATTACATGTCAACGCTGCCAACTCTTTGCCCCTGCCGCCAACGCCGCCACGCTTTGCTGCACTCTTTGCCCCATGACCCTTTCCGTCATGTCGTCGTGCTCTGCTACTCCTCTATCACCGCCAACAACATACACACACCCCTACCTTTGCTCTCTCGTGTCCCACTATGGTGCAGTTAGCTATTGTTGATGATTTCGCATGTCATTGTCAACACCACTAAGTCTCCTTCTTTGCTACCGATACCACCAGGACATGTAACCATCACTAGTGTGTGTAAAGGGAAAAAACATGCTATAAAATGTCAACTGTAGCTACAAATAATGTCAAAAATGACAATGTACACTGCCAAACTTAGCGCTATATAAGGACATATATGACACTGTATAATGTTATAAGGAAAATGAGAACAAAAATTTTAATTTTTTTAAAAACAAGGCATATTGCAAACAAGTCTGATTATTAAGCCAAGCATTCGGAATAATTTTCTTAAATCCAGACATACTGGAGAATTGTCTCTTCGTTGTCATACAAACTCCATGGAAGCATGGAATTTATGTTCTTCTTTTGGCAACAGCGAGGATAGATCGAGGAGGGAGAGACGGTGGGTTTCGTCAAGGCAAGGGGATGACAACGATGGAAATTATGGTGACGTTGGTAGCAACTGAGATGTAACGAAGATGGTGATCTGTGGTGGTTGTTGAGATTGAAAAAGGGGGAAACAATTTGGATCGCTAAAAAAAGAAGCTTTATAGTTTGTACCCTCAGTGTGATTGAAAAACAAAAATTAATTAATTACTACTATTTAGTAAAGTTTAATATGAACTCCTATTTTGAGCCTATGACATATGTTTTACTTCTACTTAGAGTAATTTCTTATTAATGTTGATATCATTGTACCACATTAACCACCAAATACAGTGTCAAAAAAAATAATACCAAGCATTGCCCCATATAGTGTCACATATGAAAATGCATATTGTCAAAAATGCCCACATACATTGTTTTAGATGCAAATTGACAGTGTCACACAGGTAAATGGACCATATATCAGATAATTTTAATCTATTTTTTTTCTATTGTATATGCATTCTAAATGAATAATCAAAAATTAAAAAACAAGTTTTTTAGGGGGACATAACTGTACTTTGATTTGCTAGAATCAAATTATAGCAAAAATGAATGAGATTGTGAGTGTTGGTGAAGAGCAGGTTGGTACAGCACCTAAAAGCATCACGTGGATTCAAACCCTATATAAGCAAGAAAACTAAATCTGAACTATCAGAGGCTATTTAAGGTAATTAGCAATTTAGCCAATAAACCCTAACTCAAATTTCACCAAAATTCATCAATAACCAAGAACCAAAGCCCAAATTAAAGGTGATTGTATGAAAATTGATAAGAAACGGAGAGAGAGAAATCACAACATTAAAGTAAAGTAGAGATTCTCACTCGAATGAGCGGAAGTGCTTAGGGAGGCGAAGGGTTTGGATGGAGACGGTGGCGATGGGCGTAAGCTTGCACCGGCAAGTGATATGATTCTTGCAAAGCCTACCGGGTACGGCCGAATCGGGACGGCAGTAAAAGACCACCGTCTCCAACCCACAGAAGCTGCACCGCCGACCATGTTCTCGCTCCCTCATTTGATCAAATAACATTAGCATCTACATCACCCATTACTTATTTAATTAGTCCTATTTAAAGAAGTTTAAGTTTGAGCTCCTATTTTGAGGATATGACACATGTTTTACTCCTATTTAGGGGGTTTACTTTAGAAGTTAACTAAGGCCATGTTTCGTCCAACTTATTTTTTCTGCTTTCTTCTTATTCTTATTAAAATTAGATAAGATCACATCAAATCAGATCTAATTAGATCAGATTAGATCTAATCAGATCTGATCAGATCCAAACAGATCTGATCTAATCAAGAATTATTATTATTATTATTACTATTAATATGATTATTATTATTATTATTATTTCATTTTCTTTAATAATAAATTCAGAGAAATTTTTTCTTAAAAATGAAAAAAGAATAAACTTTAGAATCAAGTTAAATAGAAGACTGAGAAAATAATCTTTAATTATTAGAGGTCGGAAAAATTATTTTTAAAATATATTGACAATGTCATTCTAATTATACTTTTAAAATACATTTTTATTGGTACCTGTAATTTGAGATTCTAAAGTTTTGATCTTTTACTACATCGATTTGATCAACTTTGATCAACAACAACCCAAGTGAATCCCACAACAGTAGGGTCTGGGGAGAGTGTGTGTACGCAGACCTTGCCCCTACTCGGGGGTTTCCAAGAGACCTCCGACTCTACCTGCACAAAAATATGGAAGGGAACACAGTATAGCACAGATAAAGCACCAAGTACAAGCAACAAGTACAAGCAATAACAAAAGATTCCATACAAATACAACACACTACAAAACAACTTCTACAACACCGAGCTCCTATCCAGCTACTCTAATTCTAGTTTTCAAAGGTTCCTATCTAGGGTCATATCCTCAGTCAGGTCGAGAAGTCCTAAATCCTACCTAATCACCTCCTTCCAATTCTTCCTAGGTCTACCCCTTCCCCTACTTCCCCCAATAACTGTAATCCTCTCGAATCTACGTACAGGGGCGTCAGCATCCCGCAGTCTTACATGGCCAAGTTAGCTTTGATCATGACTTAAATAACATTAATATTTGATATTCATATACGGAGTATATTTTAGTATTATCTATGATGTTATATTAATCATACAAAAAGTTTCTTAGTACAAAGCACACGCTGAATTGAATTCTTAAAAAGACTAAATTAAGAATAAAACATGGAGAAAATTTTCAAAAGTTATTATAAAGTCAGATCAAATTATTGATTTGAATTTTAAATCAAATCATAATTAATCAGATCAGATCAGATTCAATCAGATCAGATCATATCCAATCAGATCAGACTAGATCGGATCAGATCCAATTAGATCAAATCAGATACAATCAGATTAGATTAGATCAGAACTACAAAAAATCAGATCAGAAATATAAGTTGAACGAAACGGAGCCTAAAATACCTTAATGAAAGTAGGTGGACTATATAAAATGAGGACATATGAAGTGGTGAGGAGTAATTAATAAAGTGGTGATAGTTGTATTTTAAATATTAAAAAGGTATTGCAGAAAAAAGAGCGTTGGGAAAAGTCTATAGCAGATGGAGAGTCTAGAGGATAAGTTAGAAGTTTTAAAAATATTCCAAATTCTTATTTCTCTCAATAGTAGATCCAATATGCTTTGAAAGCTGCCAATTGAATGTGTTTGACTCGAAAATTGTCATTTTTTGGTGGACACACATTCCATTTTTATACTTCATCTCTTTCACAAAATAATTTAGGTTTATTATTCTAGGTTTTTGCTAACTTTTATTTAGATATATCTTTTCATTAGTTATTTGATAAAATAACATACTCTTAACATTACTAGCATCACTCCCGTGCGTTGCACGGGTCATACTTATATTACTAAATTAAGATCATTTTTGAAGGATATAATTTCTTATCTAATACTCCCTCTGTCCCAGAAACATCTTTCCTTTCATATTTTCTTTGTCCCACAAACTCCTTCCTTTTTCTATTAAAAAACTACTTCTGCACAAAATATTATACACAAGCTATTAATTTTGGGGGAACAAAGCTATTGCGTATAAAAAGACATACAAAAACAGGTAATAGCAGACCCTTTGTGGATGCAGGAGCTATATATGACAGATGTACATCCCGCCAAATGCAGAAGCGTTGGGCAACCAAATAAGCTCAGAGATCTGATGGAGACCCATATGTTTTTTTACATCACATACAACGGCACTCACATATGCAATTTCTAGGAAATCGAAAACCCAAACAACCGTATCATAAGAATAAGAATCTACAGACAATGTAATCAAATGAGATGCTAATGATAAACCAAAGAGCAAACCTCAGAATCAACACGTATGGATTGGATATGCATGAGGCTGCATATTCCTTTGCATTTCCTCCAACATTCTCTGGAATGAAATACTCTCCCAACCCTCTGTCTATCCTGCCACTCCGGAGTCAAACTGCTACTCGGCTTCACCCCGACGGGTGGAAATCTTTAAGGGAGCTCATAACTCTTTCCACATTGACATTATCTCTGTCAATGCACCATCCACAATTGTGGGCTTAGACTATTCACTAAACATCTCAAGTTTAGCCCCAAAATTTCCCTTCAAATGATTTGGAGTTTCGAACATGACCACAAATCAAAGAAGTAAAAAAGCAGTGAATAAGAATCAACTTTTGGTTTTTTAACCAAATGCGATTATGACTTGATGATTTTTGCAGCCGCTGTATTTTATATTGGAAAACTACCAGTGTCCCTGTGACTCATATAAAGATATCTATCCTTAAATCTATGCACAAGTATAGATTATATAACTTGCTAACCTGGAAGTATTATCCAAGGATCAGAGCATGTGTATTGGTTATATAAATAACAAAGCAATCAGTTGAATATGTGCTTAAAGGATCCCAATGCAGTCAATGTTTGATTAATTTGTATCTTGCCTTCCCAAACTGTATCATATTCTAATTAAGGAACATTAATGGAGCTAAATGTGAAGCATGAGTTACAAAGATTTTACCATAAGGAAAGACCATATAAAGAACGCACATCTAAAGAAACTTTAGAAAAATCAAAACAATTTATTTGTTCATTACAAGAAATGATGCAAACTGATCAGCAATGAAACTATTGACCTATGTAGAAGGTGTATCTAGTAGTATCTGAAAACTATCCATCCTGTCAATCAGAGGGTTAGAGTTCCTGAGATCTCATTCAAACGATGAACAACTTTTCTTTTCATATCCTCCATGGCCACTCTGATCTCATCAAGCTCTTCCAAGCCCATAGCATCCACATTGAAATAGCTCTCAATATCTACATCGTCATTACTCACCGCAGCAGCTGGAGGAGAAGAATCATCTACAGACGCCTTATCCTTCACATGCTGCGTCTGGCCGTCTGCACAGACTGTGTCAACCGGCAAACATTGTTGTTGTTCAGCATGGGCATTATAACGGTTCAAAACAGACTCCACGGAAGGGTAGCCATAGACAAAGGCGTTTCCGGCCAACGAGAAAGTAATGACGGCGGCCTCGGCGTCGCAACGCTTGCAGAGCTCGTTGACCTTCTTGAACAGACCTTGGCGGCGCTTGGTGAAGGTTGTGTGTCTCTTGGCTTTGTCCTCAATCCTCTTGATTTCCACCTTCGTTCGCACCATTATTGCACTCTCCAACGTTGGAATCGATGATGAACAAAAAACAATTGATAAGGAAAGTAGGTAGGGTTATTGGGGTCTATGTATTAAGAAGGAGAAGAACCCCAACTTTCCAAGAACTAATATGGAAGTAGACATGTAATGAGAGTAAAACAACCCAAGAAACCCCTCGATTTTTTGGATTCTCGGAATCTATTCTACGCCCTCTCCGTCCTTTTCTATTTTACGGTTAAATTATATTTGGCTTTGGCCCTAGAAAAATTTAAAGAAAACCCCTCAAATAGGAGTAAAACATATATCATATCTTTAAAATAGGAGCATAAACATAAACTCCTCTAAATAGGAGTAACTAATTAAGCAATAGTTGCGGAGCTACATCGGAGCAAGTGACTGCAATTGCAGTCACTCACCTTTCTATGTTAGTGTATATATATACGAGTATATACTCAGTGCCATTATATTTCACCGCATGAGAACCAAATGCCCAACTTTTTACTTCTGCCTTTGGCAATTGCACTGCTGGGATTTGGGATGCTAAAGAATTGAAGCAGGTTCGTTTCTTTATTTCTTTTTCTTATTTGTTGACATGTGATAAAGAATTAAATTTAATTGCTAAATTCAATGAATTGAAACTGCAAAATTATGCTTTAGAGCTGGGGATGTGTATAAATTTATCGTTTTGCACCAAATTAAGTTTTAAAAAAAGTGTATATATTGGGTGCATAGGCTTCCGCCATCATCTCTGTGAATTTTTCAGTCTTTTTTTTAAAAGGAACATTTAACCATTATCAATTGCCACCGCCGTATATATACGAAATGATGCCGAAGATTGCTTTTTTTGCTATAATAAAAATGGTAAAGCAAAGCATCGGGAAGGATTAATTGGTCTATCAGTAAAACTTTCGTTGCATGCTTTTAGTGAGCTGTAGAAGACTGTTACATTTCAAGTATCTACCTATACAGTGTCATTGGATTTGGTTTGGCATTATGTCATTGTGTAACATTGTAACATTATATATGAGCATATGTGGCATTATATATAGGCATCTATGGTATTATATAATGTCATATGTGACATTACATGGTGCCATGTTTGACATTATAATGTCTTTCTTTGACACCCTATTAACTACTAATTTGGCACCACTGTGGCGATGATGGTGTAGATTGTGATGACAGTGTTGTTGATAATGGTATATAGCACTGATATCATTGAATTGATGGTGACAACGAAAAATCAAAGGCGTCAATAGTAGGTTTCATTTGTAGCGGTACGGCAGAGCAAAGGACGGAGGTGGTGGAGATTCAAGTGATAGTAGCAGGTATGTGGCGGTGACGATGGCGGCGGTGGGCATCATCATCGACGACGATTGCGGCAGTGGGCGTCGCTGTCAGTAGCATGCTGTTGTGAAATTGGCCGAATTTTTTTAGTTTTGAATTTGGCCACCACTGGTATTGGCCGCAAATGCAGTGCGTGTGGGGAGCATTTTTTGTTTTATTAATTAAGTTAAAATCTTTATTTTAACTTTTTATAGAAAATAAAAAAATGAAAAACTCAAAAACATTGCAAAAAAAAGTCGCATGCAGTGATCAATGCTCCTGACTTTTAGTTCGCATGCATCTTTAAAACAAATGTGCGTGTGGGAGTATTTTTTGTTTTATTAATTATTTTCTGCATGCGAATAAAGATGACTATAGAACAAAAAATAGGACTATATATTTTTATTTCTCAATGTAGTCCTATATACAACTATATATAGTCCTATATAGTCCTACATTGACTTTTAGTTCGCATGCATCTTGAACTCCTATTGTAAAGATATGACCTATGTTTTACTCCTAGTTTGTTCCTTCTCCCAAAAATTTACCTAAATAGGACTAAAACATAATGACTTTCCCAACATAGGACTATATATTTTTATTTCTCAATGTAGGACCTTTGGTCATTACAAAGTAGTCATTATTCAAGTAAATGTCTATCATTACTGGACATTATTCCTCCCACTAGGTCATTATTAAGTCCTATTTAGGGAATAAAAAAGTTCAAGTTCTACATTGGGAAAGTCATTATGTTTTAGTCCTATTTAGTGCAAATTTCACTTGGCCCTAAGGCAAATGCACTTCTAGACTTAGCAAATGCAATAGGGAGGGGGGTTTGCGCCGCGCCAGAACTCGCGACACGGCTAGGGACGTGTCATCATTTCAGGATGAGCAGCGGAAAGGAAGTTGCAACACACGCTGTAGTAGCGGTGCTTTGCCAAAATTAAAATGTAGCAAAAATGGATGGGCAGTCTTCTACTGCAACGTTCCGTCGTGCCGCTGCGTAATAATTTTTTTTCAACACTATAAATTCAAAACATCTTCAACTTTACTTCATCCACTCACATCTCTCCCAATTCACTTTTTTTCTTAATTTATTTTTATATTTCTAATTTCACTAAAAAATGGTTCTTCCTCCAGCGGATGATGAGCTCGTGGATATGTTAATTACGGCATACGATAAGTGTTTATCTTTAAATCAAGAGGAGATGCAAAATGAAATCTCACAACAAGCAGCAGTGACTACTTCTCCCGTTCCACGTAGGTGGTTGTACATTCGTCGGGACTGTGAACAAGTCTGTCACCATTTATTTGAAGATTATTTTTCAAATGTTCCGTGTTTTTCTGATGACTGTTTGTGGTTGCACTTGCAGCTCGTGATATGTATTTCTAACAGCGTCCGGACGATGTTGGATGGGGGAGCGGCTATCCAGTCTAGAGAAATGTACAACCACGATTAGGCAGCTCACGTATGGCACGTGCACTGACATGTTAGACGAGTACCTCCTCATCGGGAACTCTACTGGCCGAGAATGCTTGCAACATTTTTGGCGAGGTGTCATTAAAGCCTTCAAGGAGTTTTGATATGCACATATTTTATACACTTTTTAGGCATATTTTGAAAGAGTTTTAAGTCTCAATTGAATTAATGTTTACATTTTATGTTAATTTTCCGTTTTATTTTGGTAGAGCGGTCCTATGCTTGGTTTTATATGTTTTGCAGGTATTTTGAGATCATTTGGACGCATTTAGAATAATTTCAAGAATAGAAAATAAACATGGATGTTTGGGACCAAAATATATGGAAGAGATTTAAAGGAAAGAAGAATTAAAAAAAAATAAAGGAGAACTCGCCCCTCGGATTCGAACTCTGGACTTCAAGGCAAGGGAATCGAGCTTTGACCATTAAGCCACAATTGATTATTCGACAAACACTGGCGAACTTGGGTAATCTTCTAAATTTAAATTCGGCCATGAATTGATGAAAGAGAAAAATGACAAAACACCGACACTAGATGGAGAATCAAACACAGGAACAAGTGGAGAGACAAACAGCCTCATTTCCATGTGGGCTACTATACCTGTTTGACAATTGGTGCACTGTTTGTATATAATCCGTATATACAGATTCATCTATAAAAAACACCTCCCTTCTCTTCTTCTAAAAAGGTTGGAACCCCCATTTTCTCCCATCTCTATTTCGAAATTCTCTTCCCCCTAACTAATATCCAACCATTTTCTTCTTCCAAACACATAAAAATCACTCCATCTTCTTCATCATCAACACCATTTATTACATTTGGAGCTCAAGAACATATTTTCTATTTTTGTAAGATTTTTATTATTGTAATAAATATTTATTTGTTTAAGCTTCAAACTATGAACTTCTAAATTCCATTGGGGTTAGAAGTTGGTGTAATTAATTGTCCATCTTAGGGGCTGTTTGGCAACTTCTGAATAGGTAAGTGCTGAATAAGTAAAAGGTCTGAACCATTAAGTGCTGAACCAGTAAGAGGTCTGAACCATTAAGAGCTAGTGTATTGCTTAACTATTCAGAGGCAAATGTCTGATCAATTCAGATAAGAGGTCTTAACCATTCAGACTCTGTATAATACTTAACCATTCAGAGGCAAATCTCTTAACCATTCAGACATCTGAACCATTAAGAGGCTGAAACAAACAGTCTGAATCATTAAGTGCTGAACCATTCAAACATCTGAACCATTACGAGGCTGAAACAAACAGCCCCTTAATGTTTTAAATATTTTTAACATGGATTGTTGATTTTATTTTTACTTAGATGTTGTATTTAAAAATAAACAAAATTTGGAATGTTTGTGATTTTTAATTAAGGGCCCAATCATAAACATAATTGTTAAAAAGAATTTGAGCTAAAATTGAAATAATCATAAAATAGAACACTTTTTAATTACACCGTAAACCTTCTCTACCTTTAACCGGGATTGAAGACTTTCGGGTGGACATAATTATTGAGTTGTATTTTTACACCATTAAATTGGGTAAACATACAATAAAATAATTATGGTTGCCGTTGTTACTAAATAATTACTCCGGATTTATCATTAGCGTGTTAAAGTCAGAGTGGTTATTATTTAGGTGAACTCAAGAGCGTCCCTAAATACTTTTCTGCAACCCCACACATTCTATATAAAAATAAATTAACAATCCAACTTTTATAAAAACATTAGACACTTAATTTACCAATTTTTACCCCTAACTTTTCATCATCAAAAACTTTGTGTTGTTTGGAACTCTCTCTTTTTACACTTTTTATTTTATCTCTAAAACCAAAAAGACCAAAAAATATTTTACAACTTCTTTTGTAAACTTTTGTCAAAATTAAATTAACTCACGTCTCCCTGAGGTTCGACACCCTACTTACAAGGGTTCTTTTTAGTTGTTAGTTTTACCCGTTCAATACTGCAAATCAACTTGGCGCCGTTGCCGGGGAGACGGTTTGAGTTTTTTTTATTTTAAACATAAGTTTTATTGTTTATTTGTTGTAAATATTTGTTTTTATTTTGTTTTCCTAACCTCTTCTTGCAGGTACTAAAAAAACAAAAAAAACCTAAAAAAAAACTAAAAAAATAAAAAATAAAAATAACCTCAACCCAAAAAAAACCAAAAAAAAATTCTTTTAGTTCCTTTACACTTGGACATATTGACTAGGACATATTAACTTCGACATATTGAACATACCTGAACATATTGAACATACCTCGACATATTGAACTATCCCACAGGTCGGATTTTCTGCCAACGGTGATTGGACATTTTTTTTCTATTTATTTTTCCGCTGACCGGCAAAGCCGTCACAGGGTTTGTACATTTAATTACTGCACTTTACATTTCTGCATTTTTTTCTTTCTTTCCAAGCGTGCAAAGCCGCTATTGGACATTATATCTATACACTATATATTATATATACTATATATATTATACATATTATATATTATATATTATATACGGAGTATTATTTATATTATATATTATATACATATTACGTATTATATATCTATATATTATTACTAACTCTTTTTATTTTTTTAGTGTCCTCATTGGTTTATTACCACTTGGAACTTTAACCGCTAACTACTAACTAAGGTATCACTTGTCTCGGTGGTGTTTACCTCTTGACTTAAGTGAGAGCCTTTTTATTAATTTTTGCACATTACATTTTTTTTCTTCTTTTCCTATCCCCCTTTCCCTTCTCTTTTCCTTTTATTTTTTTTCCCTTTTATTTTCCTTCTATTCCCTTCTCCCTCTTCTCTCTCTAACCCTCCCCAATCCCTTTCTTTTTATGCTAACTCGTTCTCGTGGGAAAAATCAAGAAAAAATTTTCTTTCTAGAAATTGAAAAACATTTGAAAGAAATAAGAAAAATAAAGAAAATGGAAGTCCCACGGAACGATGTTCTTGAAAATGTGCAGGGAATTCAGAGAAGACAAAATAAAGTTTCGAACAGGAGGACTCTTTCTGACTATGTCACTCCTCCTGTGGTGGAACACAACAGTATTATTCCACCGGATGTCACAGCAAACAACTTTGAAATCAAACCTGCTGTCATCCACATGGTCTCATCTGATCAGTTTGGTGGAGGACCAACGGAGGACCCACACAACCATATCAATGGTGTGCCAACTGATGCAATCAGACTCCGTTTGTTCCCGTTCTCTCTAAGGGACAGAGCTCAAAGATGGCTGGATTCATTTCTAAACAATCACTTCACAACTTGGGACCAGGTTCACGGAGAATTTCTCAAGCGATTCTTTCTGCCTTCCAAAACAGCAAAGATCAGGCGGATGATACAAAATTTCAAGCAAAATCCAAACGAGCCCCTTTACGAGGCTTGGGAGAGATTCAAAGATCTTCAAAGGCAATGCCCACATCACAATATCCAAAGTTGGCACTTAATGACGGTTTTCTATGAAGGCCTAAATGAAAACTCACAGATATTGTTGGATGCCTCGGCGGGCAGATCATTCATGAACCTTGAACTTGACGACGCTGAAGAACTCATAGAGCGGATCTCAACAAACGGATCCACCTGGTACTTTGACCGTCCATCCGCTCAACCAAAAATTGGAGGCATGTATGAAGTTGATCAAATGTCGACCATGGCTGCCAAGGTCGATAGCATGATGATCATGGTCCAAAAGATTGCTCAAGTCTCTGCTGTGCAAAACACTACGCCAGCACCGCCTCCTGTTCCTGTTCTCATGTGTGTATCCTTTGGTGGACAACATGACCAATCTTCATGTCCATGGGATGCAATGGAGCAAGTTGATAATGTCAATTACTACCGGCCGCAGCAACAACAAAATCCATTTGGTGGATTTAATTCTCAAAATAGAAATCATCATGGTTTCTCTTGGAGCAATCCCAATGGAGCTGCCAATCCACAAGCTTATCGGAGTTCACCACCCGGCTTTCAAAATCAACAGCAACAACAATTTAGAGGTGGCCAAGGTTTTGCTAACAATCTACAATTTAAGCAAAACCAAAGCTTCCCCTATGTTCCCAATCAACAAAAGCCGATCCTGCCAACTCCTGAAACACCATCGGCTCCAGGCTTGGAGAACATTGTTGATCAGCTTCTAAAATCTCAATTAGCTCAAGCTGAAACCTTGAAGAAGATTTCTGAAGAGCTTACTCAACTTCGAGCTCACAATACGATGCTTGAAAATCAAATCTCTAGTCAAGCATCAACATCATCAACAAAGGTGACTGGGAAATTGCCAGCTTGTCTCGAGAATCCAAGAGAGCAAATGAATGTTATCACTACTCGGAGTGGGAAACAACTTCAATCTCCATCTCTTCCGAGTAGTGATCCTGAAGAAGAAAGAGGAGAGGATTCCAAAGAAGAAGCTTAGAACAAAGTCAAAGGAGATGCTGCTGAAATGCTGCCGGAGTCAATCCAGATCAAAGAAGGAAAGAAAAAGGAAGAAGAAGGTTTGGTAAGGAAATATGCTCCACCAATTCCTTTTCCAAACCGACTCAAGAAATCACATATTGAGGAACGAAGAACCAAGTTCTTGAACCGAATCAAGCAATTGGATATCTCTATTCCTTTTCTTGATGCCATCACCGAAATTCCTTCATATGCCAAATTTCTTAAGGAGATCTTAACAAAGAAGAAGGAAAATCTTCTCACGGTGGCCATGAGTCAAGAGTGCAGTGCCATTATCCAAAATAAGATCACACCAAAACTGTAACACCCTAATCCGTCCAGGTTTACAGCCCCTTCCGAACTAAAGTATTAACTTGGTAATCGTATAATTTAAAACATTTCAAATAACTTTATTCATCATAAATAAAATTTCCAAACATAATTGTAGTAAATACGGAGTGTTTAATAATAATGCGGAAGCGACTTTTAAACATGTCTCATAACAACATAATTATTTATTTTGTTCAATGATCCACCACGACTGTCTTGCCCCTTCTGCTGCCAGGAATCAGCCAATCATTCATTCTACCTACCTGCGTGTAGCAAATAAAACACACTACACGCCTAGCGATGAAGCTGAGTAAGCATATCTAAAGCGTCGAACATCCAAATAAATTGAATCTCAATTCATAATCAACCATTTGATATCATGCACACAATATATGATTCAAACATTCATGATATTCTCAATATTTTATTCCAAGTCTTTAGATATTCAATATCTCAACCATGCTCTTAAATTATTCTTAATCTAAGGCCAAATCATTTTATAACAAGCTCTTAGCTATTCCTAGTCTAAGGCAACATTTCTAACCAGGCCCTTAAACTATAAATAGTTTAATGC